TCCGTCCGTCCGTCCGTCCGTATGTATGAACGCGTCGATCTCAGAAGATATAAGAGATAGAGACTTGAAATTTTCACGCGCATATCAAGTTTATCATTAAAAATCGATAACTACTCCCGATAATATATTATCGATTAAAAACCTAATCGAAAGTTAAAGTTAAGCTAGAGCTTCCAAATTTCGAATGTAGAATCATGTGTATTTTATATAATTTCGGTTTTTGTTCAAATATATCACCCCTCCCCTCAAGTAGTAGAGACTTGTGATTTTGGAATGCACATACATTTGAATATTATGATCAAGTTTTGAAAGTTTCATTAAGATTGGACGTCTAGAAATTATATTATTCAACAAATAAATTCGTTTAATATTGTCCACACTGCAGCGCAGCCCAAGCGCAGTCGCTGCTTACTGCGCAGTTAGCAGAGCGCGCTCTAAATAAGTGCCGAGTGATTGGAATACCAGACTGGAGAGTTCAGGGTATCTCCTAGTCGAGCAGTCTCGACAAGAGTCTTCTTACTTATTATTTATTGATTTAATTATTATTATTTTTATATTTTTTAATATTCATAATATTTTTTATTAATATAGTAATAATAGTAATAATAATATTATTATTAATAATAAAATGTAGATAATCCTGAGAGAGTCAGAAACAGGTGAAATACCTATTGAGATTTTTGCCTAGATTTTGCCAATTTAGAATTTACAGAGCATAGACGTTTCGTTGTATGGCAAACCGATGTTTTCCTGCATTAAATTTCTTTCCTCTTGTTACGTTGCGAAATCGTTTAAATATTTGAAAAATTGGCCGGCAGAGGCCGCTGTATTTTGGGCCAGTTGGCTAGTCAGCGCTCAATTTATGAGAGCTCCGCAGCTGTAAAACTTCACAGCTCCAAGGGCTAATTACGTTGAAAGGCTGTCGCTTAGTAAGTTAAAAAGTTTACGCACAATTATTAACACTTGGCCCGGCCGGCGTGATGGGGCACAAAAAGTTGAGAGACACGCCCAGTTCGGTGCAGCCCATTAGACAATATAAATGCTTGGGCTTCCATCGCAATCCGTACAGTAGGGAAAGCTTAGACTAGCAGCCAGCAGAGCCATGAACAGCTCCCTAGTAGAGAGTCCTCGCACCTTCGGCGACATGATGCGCATGCCCGTGCGCTTCTACAAGACCATTGGAGAGGACATCTATGCGCATCGATCGACGAACGAGCTGACCTCGCTGCTGCTCAAGATCTACCTCTACGCGGGCTTCATCAACTTCAATTTGCTGGTCTGCGGCGAGCTGGTGTTCTTCTACAAGTCGATCCAGGACTTCGAGACTGTGCGCCTGGCGATTGCTGTGGCGCCGTGCATTGGCTTCTCCCTGGTCGCGGACTTCAAGCAGCTCACCATGGCGGTGTATAAGAACACGTTGATACAGCTGCTCGACGAGCTGGAGGAAATGCACCCGAAGACCCTGCTGGCGCAGAAGGCCTACAAGATGGCCGACTTTGAGCGGACCATGAAACGCGTCATCAGCATTTTCACTTTCCTCTGCCTGGCCTACACGACCACGTTCACCTTGTATCCGGCTGTCAAGGCAACCGTCAAGTACAATTTCCTCGGCTACGAGACCTTCGACCGCAACTTTGGCTTTCTTATCTGGTTCCCCTACGATGCGACCTCAAGGAACTGGGTATACTGGATCACCTATTGGGACATTGCCCACGGCGCCTACTTGGCTGGCATCGCATTCCTCTGCGCGGATCTCCTGCTGGTCGTGGTCATCACGCAGCTCTGCATGCACTTCAGCTACATTTCCACGTGCCTCGAGGCCCATCCTTGCGACCCAGATCAGGACGAGGAAAACTTGAGATTCTTGTGCAGCATGATCAAGTATCACGACAAGTGTTTGACGTGAGTAGAACAAGAGAGAGAAAGAGAGAGTGAGGCCAACTGCCATCCCGTCTTTCTCAGGCTGTGCGAGCATGTGAACAGCATGTATAGCTTCTCGCTGCTGCTGAACTTCCTGATGGCCTCCATGCAGATCTGCTTCATAGCTTTCCAAGTGACCGAGTCGACGATCGAGGTCATTCTGATCTACTGCATATTCCTAATGACATCCATGGTGCAGGTGTTCCTCGTGTGCTACTACGGCGATGCCCTGATAGCAGCAGTACGTGGCAGAGCGCCATCAGAGCCATGCAAAGCTAATGGGCATATCTTTTGCAGAGTCTGCGTGTGGGCGATGCGGCCTACAACCAGAACTGGTTCCAGTGCAGCAAAAGGTATTGCATCATGCTCAAGCTGATGATTATGCGCAGCCAGAAGCCAGCGATGATACGGCCGCCTACATTCCCACCCATTTCGCTGGTGACCTACATGAAGGTGAGTGCGACAGCCAGAGCGGAGCTGACCTGAACTGAGCCATTCGTGTTCTTCCAGGTGATCAGCATGTCGTATCAATTCTTTGCCTTGCTCAAAACAACCTATTACAGAGACTGAGCAGACAAACATACATACATATATGTACGTATATGAATATGTATATGTAGTTGGCACTGTTAGAGCTCTGCCTCACTAATGATGTCCGCGACACACTTTGATAATATTTAATTAAAAATCGCATTTAAAATTAATAAGCTTAAATTGAAACCAATAGCGGCTGAACGAGCACAAACGAAAATGTGAAAATGTAAAAAGAAACGAATTCAAACACATAGAGCAGCGCACGGACAAAAACAAATTTTCAAAAGGAATATTACAGCACCCATAACAAATAAAAAAGAAGAAGAAACATATAAAAAAAAAACCCACACACAGAATCACAAAATCTGTAATGGCCCCAACAGAGGCGTCCACTGCACAGAGATGCCTGGAGGCATCGCCAGCGCCAGCGCGAGCGGCAGCGCCATCGCCACTCCCCAATCCCCAGTACCCAGACTCCTGCTGGTAATAAAAGGAACAACATAAAACGCAATCACAATCATCGACAATAATCCGGCAGCGGCAAAAAATGCTTATTATAAAATTTCACAGTTTTTCAATGAGCGGCAAAAAGCAAAGCAAGTAAAAGGCAAAATGAAAAAAGGAAAAAAGCAATGGCTTTTCAAAATCATAATGGCAGCTAGTAACAAGAGTTTTGTGTACAAATAAGTGGAAAAAAATTGCCAGGCAGTGGCAGAACGATCGGCATCCACGACCGCGTTCACGTCCACGTCCACGTCGGCGTCCAGGTTCAGGTCCGCGTCGACGATGTCTATGTCGGCGTCAATGAGAGCGAGCAAATACCACGTCAGCAGCTCCAGTGGCATCTGCACCATCCACCCCACACCACCCCACTCCAACCAGAGCGCTGTTCGTCAGCTCGTCGTGCACGTCACGCGCAACCACTTAAAAAACCTTGGGCTACCCTCCCAAACCTATTACCGTGCCATTCTCCAATTTCTATGCCCCAACCTCCAGCCTCCAGTCAGCACTCTCTCCCCCCTCCCTCTCTCACTTAGCGAGCTGCATTTTCCCTTAACAGGCCGTTAGTCGTTATTATTTTGGTCCATTGACGCTGCGGGCCATGGCAGCACAGCTCTATGTACACACACACACACACACGCACACACATTTATGTATATATAAATATGTATATATCCCGGCCGGGTCACCTCTCTGCTCTGCCATGCTGTGCTTAATGCGCCGTTCAGGCCAACGGCAGTGCCCGGGCCATATTATGTACCACCACCCCCAGCCCGAACAGCTCGAATAGCCCGCCCCGGAGAGTCCATCAACTTCAGCCAGCATCCCCCAGCCGCAGCTTGAGCTGTTTGCCACCCTCGTTGACGTTGATGTCCCGTATTGGAATCGCGTTCGTCTCGCCTTGTTCATCCTCGTTTGCCTCCGCGTTCACAGTCCACCTCCTCGTCCTCGCGTTCGTCCACGTCCACGTCCACGACCACGTCCATCGTCCTGGACGCGCACTCTCGGCTACAGCACCACCAGGAGGGCAATTTTTATAATTTTAGTCTCGTTTGCTTTGAATTTATTTTTCTTTTTCTTTTTTGCTGTTCTTTGTTTTCTTTTTCTTGTACTTTTCATTTTTTATTTTTTCCACTCTCTTGCCCTCTCGACTAACGCTTGACTCCTCCCTTCCGGCATGGCTGCACGGCCTCCCCGTTGCGGGCGTCGTTGGTTTTATGTTATATGCCTGCTGCTGCTGCTTTTTACTCAAATTTCTTGCTGTGTACCCACACACACTCACACACACACATTGATTCACATCTATACAGATTTAGTTATGGTTTTGTATTGGTTTCATTTGACGCTTTTTTTTACATACTCATCCGGTGCTACAAAATGGCGTTGGTCGTATTGATTTTTGATCTGTTGCTGCCTTTCTTTTCGTCAGGCCTCCGCCCTGTGTAGGCCAACTATCGACTAATCACAATTTACGCAAATTGGCACAATAGGCTGGAAGATGTCGTAGGCATTCGTGCATGTTTGTGAATGAATGTTAAAAATGAAATTTATTTTTTTGTAATTTCAGCTTGATTTTTTTTTACAGAATTTTTTTTTTAAAGTATTTTCAAGTGCTGCAATTGAAATGTAATTACGAAGTGCAATTAAAATTTATTAAAAATCAATTTCAATTAATATTTTCATTAATTAACAGGAAAGGCAAACAATAATTCATAAAATACCCATCTATAGCTGTTCGAATGTTTTTAAATTTGGGCTTTCAATTTAAAGATTTAATTATTAAGTATAAATTGTGTCTATTATATCTTTACGCTCAATTATGACACTCTCAAAGAGATTGTGTACATTCCCTCTACACCCATAATCGCGTTTCTATCGAACCAAGCTTAATGCACACCTTAAAGTTTCGATCCAACTTTAACTCAGAGAAGATAAAGTAAAAAACATTCGCTTCACTTTTTAGTTTGCTCTGATAGTTTTTGCGCATATCAGAGTGCTTAGCTAATTGATTCATGTCCTTTTTTGTTTGTTTTCAACTTTCATTAGCTGAGCGAACAAGAAACAGCTCAGCCGTGTTCGGTCAGTGATGCTGGAAAACATTTTGTATTGAATCTGCATCGGGATGCTGGCAAAGGCAACGGCTACAAAGTGTGAGCAAATACGCAAAATCATTTTATTTCGCTTGTCAGCTTTTAATTTTGTGCTCTTCCTGGAGGAGCAGGAGCAAGAGAAAGGAACTCGGGCAATGCTTGTCTTGCTTCGTGCCCTTTGTGCGACGGTAATGGCGCTGGGACTGGGACTGGGACGGTGGCTGGACCTGGACAGGACTGACTGCTACTTAGGCGAGCGAGCAACGAGCAGTCCGGGACTGACTCAAAAGACAGCCCCTCGACGTGCCCCTTGGCCCCCTGGCGACCCACCTTCCCCTAGCAACGCTAATGAGATCCAAACGTCGAGCGCGAAGCCAACTTTCCATTCCGTAAAATTCTTTGCTTGTTTTTGTATTTTTCGCTCCCTTTTTACCATCTCTCTCTCTCTCTTTCTTTCTCTGCCTCTCTCACTCTTTCTCGTTGTCACTGATGTTGTTTCAGCTCTGCCCATTCTACCGGCGGATGCCATTCGCCGCCGTCCCTGATCTGGCATGTGTCCTTATGGCTTGTTAAGAAAATGTCGCTCTCTAATGCTCAACAATGTCGGGGACAGGACGAAGGCAATGCTGCCGCTTCTATTGCCGCTGCCGTCGCGCTCTTAAATTAGAAAAATGTAAATTTATTTTAATTAAGATAAATAAGTAACAAAATGTTTTATGGAAATTACGTTAACAACGTGGGGACAAGCGACTGTAATGGGAGCGCGACTGCGCCGGGCGTGGATTTCTTTCGTTTTGGCTATTACTTTCAAGAGGCGACACACTCCAGAGCGGCGCATCGAGCGACCGCATGACAGCGCAGGACAACGCCGGACGCGGCCATGCTCCAACATGCAAATACACATTAACAGCGAGGGGGAGGCGGAGAGGGCACCACCCAAACCCATCCAGAACAAATAGAATTATTTTTTCCACGCGCAGGCATTTTTTTATGGCATTGTGAAAAAGTTAGCCATTGATTCAGATCGATGGATGATTTTTTATAATATTGTTTTCATGTTTTCATGTTTCGCATTTTATTCATGTTATTTATTATGTACACATACTTTGGGAGCGACTGTTATCGACACTCATTGAAGCGGTTTGATGGATGTTGTTGAAACTTTTAATTGAAGCCAAGCTGCCTGAACCTTTCGCAATTAATATATATTTGCACTTGCATTTACCAAACAATACTCCCAGCAAAACAAAAACAAATGCAAATAAAAGCCAGCGGGTTTTTTATTCACATTCTATTTTTTTTTTTTTTTTCGTTTTTCATGTAAAAGTTTTATTTATTTTAATTAAGTTGCTTAATATGTGTGTGTTTTTTTATTGCCTGGTCAGGCGTTGCATTAAATGTTCTGGCTGAAATTTATGGCCGTCGAGGAATATATTTTTGATTCTGCTTTTTTCTTGTCACGAACACCATAATTATAAAATATACAGCATGTTAAAATATTTAAGCCTCGGCAATAACAAGGTCATTATATGCAACAAATATAGGATTTTAATTAAATAAAATGCAATCAGTTTATGGTAGCGTGAGGCCCGGCTAGCGTTGAGCCCTTTCATTGAAACAACGAGTCTAATGCATCGCGCAATTCAATTTGATATGAAATATATCTTTTTATGTGAGTCACTTGAGCGTGCGCCATTGGGCAGAGGCTTAATTATTTACTCGTAATTAAAAGTCAGCTTTTTGCACATCACATCAAGTGCATAACAACAGCGTCGCAGGACTGGCCGAGCTGACAGCAGCCTGACAGGGCCATTGAGACGATCTCCGCGAGCGAAGAAGACGCCCAGTGCGGCCAGGGCAGGAGCCGGAGCAGGATGAGTGAGCATTTTCCTACATTAGCCGGCGGGCTGGGTAAGCAAGCAGCTGAAGATTATGTCGCCCCCAAAGTAAATAAAACTTATGCACAAATTACACAAGTCAGTTGACTGGCTGGCACTCCACTCCAGTCCACCTCCCTCCACTCTACGTGCCCCTCCACAGACTGCCCGATTCCGAGCAGCTCTGGCCATAATTAAAACTGGCACTGAATGAAATCGCATAAAATAAATTAAACATTTTAGGGCAATTTAGAGTGAGAGTCGCTGCCTCTGTAGGTGTGTGTGTCTATGGGAGGTGGTGTGGGGTAGGAGAAGGTGCGTCCTCTGCACGCTGCCAGGACAATTGCAGCTCTAAGTGAAATATTAATGGTGTGTATATTCCAGTCATGAAGCAGATTCTTTAATAATGTAATCCAGACGCTGCTGTGGGTGGGTGCTCGAGCTGGGACTGCTTTTAATGATTTTTTTGCTTCTCCCATTGTTGCTGTTGTTGTTGTGTTGTTGTGCACACACGCACACATACACACACACACTCCAAAACATTTTCAAGTGCATCATTATTTGTTGCGAAATGTGCGGAGGTCCGGGCCTGGAG